GGGTTATTTACACTACAGCAAGTTTAAAAAGTACATTTTTGACCTTCTCAAAATCTGTGAAAAATTGGTCAAGACGGCACACACGGGCGACAATGTCCGACATTGTCCCTTTGTCCGTTTTGTCCCAACTTGTCCGCTCTTGTCTAACGGACATCATGGGCCATCATGGGACAATGTCATTGGAATATAGCGCCATTTTGTCAAAAAATGGACATATGATCATCACGTGATGAAATCCCCCTCATTTGTTCAGTAATGTCCCAAGAAAAGAATCAACATGTTCATTCTTTTCTTGGAACAGAAAGGGACAAAAAGGGACAAAATCGGACAACTTGGGACAATGTCCAGGGGACAACTTGGGACAAAAAAGACAACGTGGGACAATGTCCCCTGATGTCCCAAGAATGTCCCATGGGAATGTACAAACTTGTCCTTTCATGTCCCATGAAAATAGTTTACTCAATAACTCCCTTGATGTCCCATCATGTCCCATTGGTGTACGGCTAGCTTAATGTCCCAAGAAAAGAATCAACATGTTCATTCAATTTCTTGGGACATACTGTAAAGGGACAACTTGGGACAAAATCGGACAACTTTGTCTACTCAATAACTCCCTTGATGTCCCATCATGTCCCATTGGTGTACGGCTAGCTTATATTTGTTTTGTTGCTTTTACCTTCAGGGGAAGGATCAAACCTCAAGTTTGCTCAAGAAGCAATGGCGGTTCTACATTCTGTTGTGGACGAATACAAGATACTGAAAGGAGTGAAAAGAGTTCGCCTTTTGGATATACCCTGTGGTGATATGCAATGGATGTCCCGTTTCCTAGCAACAAGGGGTGACATAGACTATTATGGGATGGATATAGTACCTCAAATGATAGAATTACATGAGAAAAAATTTAAAGACAAACCTTGGACATTCAAGCAGCATGATATTGCAAAAACAGCCCTTGTCGAATCGTATGATATCATTCATTGTCGTATGATGTTACAACATTTGTCTGCTTCCGAGACACTAAAAGTCCTTGAAAACTTCTCCCGAAGTAAATCAGGTTATCTTATTACGACTACATTTCCGACAACACCTTCCAATCAAAAAATTGATGCAGGATCGTTTCAACTGCTTAACCTTGAAATTCCTCCCATATCACTCCCTCCTCCGTTATGTTACCAAAGAGATGGGGATCCATCTAGACGGGTTTATCACTTTCTAGGAGTTTGGCCATTACCACTGAAATACATTGAGGATTGTAGCCAAGTAGCAGTCAAAATGGGAGTGCTACAAGATGAGAGGAATTCGACCATTTATACATGTATTTGAAGACTATATTACAGACAGTTTAAGATAAATCACGTTACATAATTATAATCGAGTTACAGGGAACAGGCCCGTAGCCAGGGGGGTCGATGGGTTCGGTTTCTCCCCTCTCCCGTTCCCTGGCCAAAAAAAGTTCAAAATCATGCAGTTTTTCACCATTCTGAGCACTTTTCAAGTGATTTTGACCACTTTAGGGCCAAAGTAGTCAACAGTGAAACACACTGGATTTTTAAAAAGTGAACACCACCATCGAGAATCCTGGCTACGGGCCTGGGAAATAATTCCTATTTTCTATGTTGTTAGATGTTTGGACAGATTGTCTGCTGGAACAGTCCAAACAAATAAGATCATTTATTAATTTGGAGAAATTAAATATTGTATACTTTGAATCTTAGCTTTGATCGAGTAATTAACTTCACCATTTGATAAAGACATCATTGATATTTTGTCAGTTTCCGATTTTTTGTCCTATATCTTTAATTCTACCTTTAATAACAGCCCAGATTTTTACTTGCAGTATCAAAGTTGCTCTGTCGATAAATAGATAGCGCTTCCATAATCCATCTATTTTCACTAATAATGTATGAAACGAGTTCAGAGCAGTATTCTTTTCTATGCTGTAAGATGTTGGGACAGATATTCTAGATACGTACTAAAGAAATGGGCATCAAGCCCTTTATTCTGAATCTAATTATTTCTTTAATTTCACAATGAAGTGGACATTATGTCTGGGCATCAAATATAATTTAGTAGTGTGTCCATTTAATGGATTTTTAATTGTGTTTGTACGAACAGAAAATGTTGATTTTCAATGTTTATTCCACCTAATAATCTGCCATATTTTAGACTTTTTGAGAAATGACTATTGAAAGGGATCTACATGTACTAATAGTCCTGTAATAAGCCTTAAGATCGCCCACACGGTATCAACTTCACCTCCAGATGTATGGTGTGTAGAGAAGTCACAATGCAGGACTTTTCAGATAATTGAAACTCATGCATACCATATTTACTCAGCAATGGGGAAATTAGAATCTTTCTGAAAAGTTATTTCTAAGATACAGAAAACTTTATTTGAACATTTTAATTGCAGAACTCTCCCTCTGATAAGTAAATGTCTCATAGTGAGGAGTTCAAGGTCAATGATGAATGCGTTAATTACTGTCGGCAGTTTCCCTTAAAATCACATATGAGGCGGCATCTTTTATGTTTCGAAATATATTTTTACTAGTGTTGCTTTCACTTATTCACTTAATGGTCGGGCAGTAAAAGACTATTTTGTGATATACTGTAAATACGTATTGAATGAAAAATATTCTATAGAGGATTTTTCTTCCTGTAAAACCTCCCAAAATCTAATCCATTAACACGGGTAGGTCCAGTAGAATTTACTGCGAAACTTCAGATGATGACAACTGAATTGCGTATGTAGTACTGAAGGAATTGACCAAATTTTTATAACTTCCTCCCGTTGAAGCACCACTATTTAAACAGATCGTATTGGTAGATATAATAGCACTGAACATAGCATAGCTTGTTAAGCAACACACAACATTACCGTTCATTATTTATTTGGGATTACACAGGGGTCATTTTTCAAGAGAGTTTTTTTTGTATTTAAAGTTTTCTTTTGGATATATAATGAATAAACAAAAATATCATAAACTCTTTGATAGCAAGCACATTTCATATGGTTTCAACTTATATCAAAATGGACCATGGATTACGCAACAAATTAATAGTATTCTTTTACTTGTCAACTCCTGAAGAACAACATGAGCAATGAAGGTGTAATAAATGTGACAATTATTCAAGAAAATATGAACTAAAAAACGGACTCATATTCAAAAAAAGCAAGTAGAATAAATATGCCATGCTAATTACCTTTCAAGCAATCTATTCGTTAATAGATCATCAGTCATAAACTTTAACGTTAATATTTTAAAATTTTTAAAGACCCCTGTTAGACCCTTCATTAAGTAAACGGTAATGTTGACAGGTGCTCAACAGGTGAAAACGTATGTAGGTCGTAGGAATATTTGTTTTAACATTTAAACGTATCAAAAAGGGTGGTGAATCAGCGGGGGGAAACAGCTTAATTAAGGCTTATTTGAAAATTTTCTTGTTTTTAATTATTGATTTTTTGTTGACTGAAAACATGACTATTAGACTGAAAACATGACTATTAGACTGCAGTTTATGAAATAAATGAGGACAATGAATTCTACTATATTGTTAGAATTTATCTAGTTCTGTTAAAATGAATAAGATGGCAATAATAATATTTGAAAATAGATGTTAAGTATTGAGATATTCTCCAAATGAGGATGTCAGTTTTTTATTTATTCATTTACTAATCAAATATATTACAAGTTGACCATGCGCTGTTATAGAACCTCAATTGGTTTAATATCATTTTCAACTCAATACTCTTTAGAAATATGGAAATATATGGACTTCACATATTTCAATATTTTCTTTTCATCATTTCCCATTTGACGATGTTTTATAAACAAATAAAATAATATTGAAAATTGGTTATTGCCTAGTTTTGAGAAAATAGTGTTTGTTTATTCAAAATAGTTTTTAAGATTGGTTGGTGCAGTAACAACAGAATCCATGACAGATGTCACTTATCTCCATGAGGTACCCTCATTCGAAGACCATCTCACTTTTATGTTATAAGAAATCCGACTGACCTACATTTCACCCGATCATATATGTCACTATGTGTCTCCTTTTAAGTCTCTCCCGCTGTTAATTTACCATGGCTTCTTTATTTCTGTAAAAAATCAATTCATACATCGTTGATTACGTTTTTATTTATGATTTCATTCAAATTATACAATTTAGTCATTGTCATTTGTTTGGATACCTAGCAATCGCTAGGCTATCAGAGTAATATTTTACGACCCATAATAGCTATTGACTTCTAAAAAATGAACAATAAGTAAAACTTGCTTGCTATTGACAAAATCTCAATTGTAGAGTTGTAGTAATCATAATATTGTAAAGGGAAAGCTCAATTGCATGAGCTCAGTCATAACGTGAGGGTTTACCATGATATAAATCTATATTTTTCAATTACCTAAATCAATACAGATCCGCAACACCCTTGACACATCTCATGGAACGATCATATTTTAGAAAAAATAAATCTGGGCGACCTATACCTTAACTAATTGCTTTCATTGCCCTATGCTGTAGAAAACTTTCTACCTAATGGAATTGAACCTTACCCAGCCAAGCGTTTATCGTATAACTAAGATATATCAATTCGGTTTATTAATCAAAATCGAGCGTTCATGAATGAAGGGATGAAGAGGTTCAGACCAACCTGACAAGGCAATCTAGCTGCATGATTTTTCACTGCACGGTTGCTAAGGAACACCAGGGGGTTACTTTTTATAAGTTATATCAAGTTATCATAATTTGAATAATTAAGTTATCGTAAACTGAATAAAACAGAAATCGTGAAGATCGGATAGAAATAGCAAGTCTGTATTGAACCAGTGATAAAGCAGTTGAGTTATCAGAATCATATAAATCATTTGGAAAGCTTGTTATAAGTCATAAGTAGAAATAAAAGATCAATCGATAGCAACATGACAGTTCCCTATCAGTCGGAGAAAACCCCATTGAAATAGTGATAGCACACCTTATTGGAAATATACAATATACAAGATAGAGGAGGAGCATTTGTAAATAGAGATAGCCTGCAATGTCTCTTATGTATGAAAACGTCGTCAAGGTAATTTCAAAATTACCCAGTGAACGACACGACGAGGATATAGAGATACTGTTGCCATGGTTTCGGAAAAAGTCTGATTTGTTTCGGAATGTGAAATCAGGTGAGTGGAAATTTTCCCTTTTATGGTGAGCTTTTGTGATAACTTATCAGGGCATTCCAACATTAAATATATTGCGAAACGGTGATCTGAAATAAGAACCTATTGACATATTTTTGTTAATGGTCAATAATAGTTAATGACTTGACTTTATTTTATTTTAATGGATAGTATAACAAACGGTGCAGACTTTTCCCGTCTACATATAAGTAAATGCTACTTTCTAATTATCTAGTCCTTTTTGTTCTTGTTAGAAGTCATTACTTTTCTGACTAATTCAAGGAGGGGAATGATCGATTTGATCTATCAGAATCGTTTAAATACATTTTAAGGTTGAAAAATTCAGATGGACATTATTTCCCTTTCCAAAATATTGCGTTGTCAAGCTGGCATTTTTAAAGCAAGGTTAAACATAAGGTTAATCTTCAATTCAAAAATGGTCTTAAGTAATTTTTAATTTTTCTTTAAGATATCATCAAGGATATACTGAGAGAATGCAGATTTATAAACCGTGAAGAAAATGATGTAGTTATAAAACAAGGTGAACGCGGAGATTGGTAAGTTTCTGATTGACACAAACATTCCCGACAATCCTCATCCACCACAACATATAAGTATATATGTGACAGCACTTAAACATGTATGTAGTTACATACATGTTTAAGTGCTGTCACATATATTTCATTGCAACGGAAACTGACAGAGGAGACCCTGTACCGTTCGTTCAAGTTCTATAAACTATATGTACTTGTACTTCAACTTTTTATGCTCGTCCTGGTGGAGATTGGAAGGTATGCCACGATGGCATAAATATAAGTAATCGTACGTGCATGTGATCCATCTTATACTAATGGGCAATATATGATTCTTGAGTCTATTTGAGTATAATTTATTTATAGAATAAATCATGGATTTATTCCAAGCATATCATACAAGACTTGTCCTGATGTGTACAAGTATATTTGCCGTCGTGCCTTAACCGGAAATTAATTACTTTTCCCGTCACATTTATTTACACACAGTCTAAAAACCGATCGAAATATTCATATCCGTATAGATTTGATTTGTTTTTTGTTATATTATATCGCCGAGGACATTGACCATGTGTTTGATGTTGGTTCGGTTAACATAAATAATCATACGGTTTGGTTTTGACATACGATATAATTTTGCAATTAGTTAGCTTTTGCCTATCCTAGTCTTTTACCTTATTTGCTTTCTAGATTTTCTATTCTGGAAACTGAATTATTATACACGGTCGTATATACAAAAACAGGTGCGGCCAATACTTCCATGGAAATATAAATCTTTGAATGTTCACTTACTTGAATTCTTATTTCCCTTACTTCAAAATCATGGCATATATTTGAATAGAAGAACTATTTTTATTCCATAATTTCGTTTTGTGGAATGGTTTGGTGGATGTTTTTTTGCTATTCGTAATCGATATGGTAAGTTCACATGGTAACTTGAATTGTAATAATCTATTTGTTTTCTGTCCGTCCGTCCATCTGTCAACTGAAATGTTATAGCCCGGTGTAACATTAACGTCCGGGGGTACCCATACCTACCCATACACGGTGACCAAATTCGGTTCTTTAGTTTATTTAATAATTTATTTCATATGTTAAGATAAAATCATATGATTTTTGGCGCTATTGGAGTACACATAAATGAATCGAACTACCAATTAGATTGGTTCATTACAGTACAATACGTATAGGATATCCTATGATTTTGAGAGATATCATTTTTATCCACGAGTTGATATCAATATCTGGACGAGTGAGCGTAGCGAATGAGTATTGTTGTGGCCTGGTGGAAGGTCGTAGTATGCAAACTAGGAGAATACTATTCATTTTTACATCGGTATCCTTGAATTGCAATGGTAGCCTACCCAAACCTTCATCCAGTTATCAAATGGCACTTCATGCTGTTTTGGTAATTGGTCATAGCCACTTAGATTTTTATTTTCTTGATATTCAATGTACTATGTTCACGTATATTGTAAGAGCCATTAATATCATTGTTTACAATAGCGCTGTTTCTATACAAGTACAAATGTTCCTGTGTTGAGAAACAGTAAAAAGTTCTAGTATCGATCATCTATGAGAGTTATAGATGATACTAGTACTTCCTTGTACCATCTTAAGAGTAAAGGTTAGTTAACAATTGAACATTAACATTGAGTTATATTTAACTTGGTATCACAATATTTCTGTTAAAGAAATTAGATAAAGAACAAAGAGACTGGGCTATACTAATATTTACGTAATAGGAGAAAAACAACTTTCAATAATAAAACCAACTGATTCATCGTATTTGTTTACTACTCCATTAGATATTATCATTAATTATCACACGTGATATCGTATCAACTAAATTACTCCAAGATTGTCGATAAATCGTCTAAATATTCCGGACGCATGGGTTAAGACATCATTTTCTAAAATTTATTTCGATCATTTATTTGAAGATACATGTACTTCATCTCACGGCGATGTAAAACTATGTTCCATACTTGCATCATTTTGAAAACAGACATCAGACATTATCCACTTAGTTCTTTTTTAAAGAATTTTCATACCGACGGCCTCATGTACGGAAATAGACAGTTTCTCTTTTCATTAGACTGTTATTTGGCATGGTTATACTTCCAGTTTCTTTTTTATCAATAAATTGTATTATACAAATTACATGTACATGTTCTTACATTACACTATTTCCAGTTTCTACATAATCCTTCGTGGTTCGGTTAGCGTTTACATCAACACACAGCTAGCTGAGCAAGACGATGACACCGATGCGTCCATCCACGGTGACCAGGGTCTCCAGATCCCCGGGGATAATGTTCAGATTCCCGGGCATAACGGAATGCATCAACCCGGGTATCACGGATCGGACACTTCCCGGGAATCCACAATTCGAGTTGAGCTCCATCACCAGAATTCAATTGATGATATTCCAGAGATGATACGGAACATGAAAGCGACGGAGAAAGCAAATTACGGACATTTCGTAAACAATTTAGGTAGCACGGTGGACTAGTTTTTACATTTTTATGTCCCCACCACATAGTGTGGGGCGATATTGTCGGCCTAGGCACGTCCGTTTGCCTGTCTGTCCGTCTGTCCGTCCGCTACAGATATCACCTTCAAATTTTCAGGGATAAATTATGAGTGCATACAGATGTGGATGAAAAAAAATTTAACTTGATACCTACTGTACTTCCTGTCGGCCATTTTGAGGGCAAATGCTAAAATCCTTGTCTGCAAACTTTAAGAAAAACGGCTTCACAGTTGCTTTTAAAACGTTAACATCTTAATTGTTCAGCTCACTTCATTCTACATCTGATTAGGTTTTGAACCTGTTAGCTCAGTCATGTCAGCCATTTTGAATGTCTTAAGAAAAGTTAATGTGCGATAATAGTAAGTATCATATTGAATGGTGTTTTTGAGTTTTCATACTTTAACCATCTAGTACCTTTATAAATAATTGGGGTTTTCCGTCCTAAAATCTTGTCTGTAAAGTCTTGTCTACGCGTTTTCAGGTGAACCGTTTTGGTAGATCAATTTCAAATTTTCATGGATGATTCTTAGTATAAAAATCTAGATTTTTTGGCATTCTGGGTAAATGTCAAGGCAGCCATTTTGGATTTCCCGTCCTAAAATCTTGTCTGTAAAGTCTTGTCTATGCATTTCCAGGTGAACCGTTCGGTAGATCAATTTCAAATTTTCAGGTATGGTTCTTAGTATGAAAATCTAGATCTGATTAGTTTTTGGCATTCTGGATAAATGTCAAAGCAGCCATTTTGGATTTTCCGTCTTAAAATCTTGCCTGTAAAGTCTTGTCTACGCGTTTTTAGGTGAACCGTTTGGTAGATCAATTTCAAATTTTCAGGGGGGGGTTCTTAGTATGAAACTCTAGAATTAACTAAATTTTTGGCATTCTGGGTAAATTTAAAGGTGGCCATTTTAGATTTTCCGTCCTCAAATTGTCTCAGTAAAGTCTTGTCTACTCATTTTCAGGATAACCATTTGACAGGATCACCCATTGGTGGGGACATTTTGTACACATGTGTGTTCTTGTTATATTTTTCAAATATGTCATTGTTGTCGACGTATTTCGTTAAGGTCTGTTGAGGTCTAGATGTCAGATAGAATTTTACATAAATCAATACATTTATTTCTTTAGCCTTTTTAATCTATCATTTCGGAACAGATATAAACATTTAATAGCGTGTCTTGTCAGTGCTGTCACGCAAGGATACCAATGATGTCGTAATTAAGCCGTAAATCCAGAGCAGAAATAGAATCATTTAGATAAACTTGCTGATTGATCGTATGACAAAATAAGTTCAACTTTAACCCTCGTCATATCTGAAATCACGGCCATGTTTTTATTCTCCAAAACCTCTAGATCTAGTTTTCCGTTGTTTGGCTTGTGTTCAAAGTTAATCTCATCCATATTTTCGTGACTCCATGTCTCCTCTTTTTCAGGGGCTGGAAAGAGTTTTGGCGAGCTTGCTCTTATATCAAAGGACTGCATACGAAATGCCTCGATTATTGCAACAGGAGAGACTGTAGACCTTCTCGTTGTACATCGGACTTTATATAACAGGTAAATAATTGTTGATCGCTCTAAACATTAACAGTATATTGTGAATCATTCACTTGTATCACCTATTCATCAATATGTCTGATTCATCATTTATGTATATATGTGCATTGTCATTGTTGGTTAGAATAAAAGTTAATCGTTTTATTAATAGGTGTCTCAAACAGGCGCAATTACAAGAATTTCAAGAAAAGACAGAGTTCGTCAACAAGTCACCTTTATTCAGTAACTGGCAACCGAAGCATCGAAAACACATGGCGATGAGTCTTGAGAAACAGAACTATGAGTACGAAGCGCATATAAATAAACAGGGGGACTCAGTCGTAGGCATCCATTTCATAAACAAGTAAGGATATTTGTGACAACAAGAATTTTCCAGTTGATAATATTGTTTCATACATTAGATCTCCCGACTAGTCCACTGATAATCAATGTATTCCCAAACTGAGATTAATCATTAAGTATTCACTTATGCCTCAGTCACATTTGATCTACGGCAACCGTACGGCGGCCGTAGCCTCCCAAGTTCGAGAGACAAATGAAGCATAAAATATAGGGATAAGTAGTACGATGGAGACTTTCTATATACGTACGGCAGCCGCCGTACGCCCGCCATACAGCAAACGTAACTGAGGCTTTACTTCATATACGTACTAGTTATTGTTATCTTATTGCACAATCAACCTTTTTGGTGATTCAGAGGTCAGGCAAGATTGTACACAGACGCGTCTCTGCACCCTGCGCAGTTTCCGAATCTCAATCCCTTCGAGGACAATAATACAAGGAACATCCAGAAACACATTTCAAGAAAAAACAACTCAACAGGTGTTGACACATCTAAAGAGTCAGTGGATGATGAGAAGCAGGTTGGGTGTGGCGTCACCGTCATACAAAGACGCAGGGAGGGCTACGTGGCTGCAGAACAACGAGTTCATAACAGACAGACAGAACTATGTTATATAGGGCCACAAGAAGCAATAGGTGAGTTGGCCAAATTTAAAAAACAGAATATCTTACTGAAGACTATTAAAAATATTTGATAATTTTTACATTAACATTAAAACGTTTATAAAAAGGATCGGTATTTATTTGAAAGGTTTGTATGGTAGACACTATTATTACCTGTATAGCCTGATCAAAAATGCAAATGTATATATTCAAATTATACTAATATGTAATGGTGTTCCAGATGATACCGAGGTTGCCATGGACCTAACGACATATGCACATTCTGCATGCTGTACCCAAGACACTGAAGTTTTCTTCCTAAACTTGAAAAACTATGAACGTTTAGTTGTTAAACGAAACAACCGAACTGTACAACTGTTAAAAGATAGCATAGAAACAAAGTTAAAATGTCGGTTATCCAGACTAGCTGATTTCCAGATCCCACTTTTAAGGTATTTGTACTTCAAATTGAAATCACGTGATATGCTGATGACATTAAAGAACGAGGTAGAGGATAATCACATGACTAAGTTTGATCCACCGAGGGGACCAATGGTAGACCAGTTTGGACCAGGGTCGGTGTTTCATCGAATACGCATGCGTGACAAACGCAGACGATACAGGGATGCAATAAACAAAGGACTTGCCCCTAAGTTTGCTGGTGTGAATTTGGCTAAGAAGCAAATTATGGACAGCCACCAGGATGGCTTAAATCATCATCTAGAACCCAATACCAATTCAAATCTAAATGGTTCCAAGCAAGATGTAACAAAATTAGAATCAGGAGCCTATTTGTCTAAATCGACACCTGAAAGAATGACAGAGTATGACTTGAGACGAATATTTGATGACGAGCAAGCCAAAGTTGTTAATGCTCATCAATCTGATACAGCATTGGTGTCGCTGGAAGAACGAATCAAACGGTGGCTTTTGCATGCTGATGGAAAGGAACCAAAAACAGTTCCAAAACTTAAACGGTTCCATCTACAAGTATGTTCAATTGCTTTTACCTTTTTGTATTTTCTAGATAGCTAGTTCTTATTAAAGAATGTATTATTTAACTTTCGTGTGTTTCCAATTGAACTGTATCCTTTTTTTAATTTGCCATCATAACAGAATCTTATTGATGTTTTGATATGGTGCTACTTGAATATACTTAGGCCTAAAATGTTTAACAAATGATTACCATAGCTCATTCAATTTACTCCAAGGAGACCAGTCCAAAATTGAGGCCAGGTGCAAGGGTTTTGTTTGACAAATCAGGGACTCAGCAAGCCACAATTTATGCAACACTGTCAGACGATGATGAAGCATATCAACCAAAACAACCCAAAGATCTGAAAAGAATAGCACTTGCAAACAAATATAAATCACTCTCAGATGGGCATCTAAGTAGTGATTCTGATTCAGGTATTGTATACATGTACATGTATCAATGCAGATTTTAATGTAAAACTTCTATTTTAGAGTAATGTGCCATGCGTGAATGATCAGTTTTATTGTAGAACCATTTATTGTAATATGACGACTCTGCCATCTATACATCTATGTGTTTTATAGCCTCATACATTTGATATTATCAATGTTTTACCTTTTTGTTTCTTTGAATGATTTATTTGCTTTAGTTTGTGAAAGTTTTATTTCGTGTACTGAACCAAGTATATGTTGTTAGATTATTTGTAATTTGGTAACTTAGTAACCAGCCTAGGGGTATGGTTTTTTCTGATCTCATGAACTTTGTTGTTTTAAGTTATTTTTATTTCGAATATATTATGTTATGTACATGTATATGCTTTATGTTATGTATCTGCATTATGTCGGTAGACTTAGATGAGTGTCAGTCCGATATCATCAGGAAACCAAGACGAAGAACCGAACGAGCAAGTAAAACAAAAGAAACTTATCACCTGAGGTTCTCTGAAGCCTTGACATTGGCACTTACGAAACGGGTAGGTCTTAGAGGAAAACTTTAATTATCACCCTTACGTGTGTATCTCATTAATTCATATTAGATCGTCTCATTCATTTTTAGTTGTGGTATATTCTCTTTTGTTAATTATTCTAGTATTTATTGGACTGCACACTTTAACAGGATATTGTACTAGATGTTACCAAAGTTTTAATTACCATTTATAGAAGCAATAAGTTCTTGGTTCTTAAAGTTATTTTAGTTGATCTTGGAGAGGGATTTTAGCAAGCCCTCTTTTAGAGAAAAGAACTGTCCAGTACGATATATGATTGATTTATATATTAATATGCCCTTTTGGCACATGTGTTTGCATGATACAAACAATGCCCCTTCCTCAGGCTTTAATTTTATATGACATACGCATTTCCAACTACTCCATTGCTTCTTTGTTTGAACATTTGTTGATTTCTAGTTGATTGTATTGTGCATCTGTCTCGTGTGTTACTGTTGTCTTCTTTTTTCTTTTTTTATTCACCAAAAAGAAATGTATACAACTAACATGAAATTTTGTTTGTCACTCTATGGGGAATTGCGCTCTATTATGATTTTATGAATTCTAATGTAATAACAAAATAAAATTACAATTACAAAATTCTTAATTTTTAGCTGCGACCAAATCACCAGTACACCACAGAAGAATACAACTCACTCCGGGACAAACTTCGATTAAAAGAAAAGACCGCCACACCACGATCAATGGGAATATTACATTAAAGTAGACAACTGTCCACATACTTGGACTTCAACTCATTCCACGACTCATTTTTCTCGTTATACGTCTATAATCTAGCCAACGAGATACAGTTCCTAATGTGATAGCTCCAACAGAGCAAAACCTTCAAGAAATGCGAAATGCAATGTATACTTGGTGCTGCAAATGGAGGATGACGGTTAATGCTATGAAAACGAACATTATCCACCATCATTCAAAGGATCACATGCGGTCCCGATTCGTGTTTCGATGTGGTGACGATGTCATTGAATATGCAGCACAATATTTAGAACTTACGTTAAATGAGCACATGTATATGTCTAAATCGGTATCCATCCTTGCCAAATCAGCCACGCGTGCCCTAGAAGTAATTATGACGAAATGCCGTCTTAAAGGAGGAATGAACTACCCTGTGCAGGTGTATACCCAGCTTTACGACTCGGTGGTCGACCCAATTCTGTTATACATATCGACTCCACAAGATACACAAAACAGAACCTGAACGCTATCTTCGCATTAGTCTTAATAAATATGAATGCTCTAATCTAACTAAACTCAGAACGGGTACACTGCCACTGAGACTTGAAACTGCTAGATACACTGGTGTCCCCATTAACGAACGAACATGTGTGAATGAGCGTGACGTCGTCGAGGACGAGATACACTTTCTCGTGGACTGTTCACTTCATCAAACTTTAGGAATTTACTTATTTGGGAAAGCCAGATTACACACAGTCAACTTTGACCAACTATCTAGTTTGGCTAAATACTGTTGTCGCATGACAAATGAAAACCTCACACGAACATTAGCTAAGGTTGTTAACTATAAGGCTCTGTATGCTTTTAAATCGCAAAAGGTATTTTATTGATTAAGTATATAGATTTTACAACTTTAAATAACAAGTACTTAACTGTGTTTCAGTCTCTCATAAGCCGAATGTCGGCTGGACTAAATGTTTTATTTTTGTATGTATTGTGAATTTTTTATTCTAATTATAACCATTGCAACCCTGCAACATTAATATTGAATGTTACATTTTAGTAAATATAATGTCATCATCATCTTTAGAATTCTACTAAAAAAATACATCTACTACGTAACTCCAATCAATCGGAATATTATATTGAAGTATATAATGGAGTGCATCTTTGGACTCTATTCACTTCAATTTTTCTAACTAATAGGAACATCAACACTGTCAGGGGATATAAAATACGAGGAATGATCCAAAAAGTCTTGGACGCCCTGCTCTAATTTTGTTGAATTATTTTGATAAATTACTTTAAATAACTTATTCGATAGTACTAAGCTAGTATAGATCAGTAGATCTATCTATCAATGTAACTAACAAAACGTAAGGTACAGACGCCAAAATAATTAAACACGCTGGAAGCAGACTCCGTGGCAGTGCTAGTCTTCAACATATTCTATTCCGAGACACTGGATGGGAGTTTGGGCTGGAAGCTAACACCAAATGGGCACAAATTGTCCACCATCACAACAATACTTTCATAAAATGAAAAAGCAAGAAGGATACTTGAACATGTTCGTTAAAGATCACTTGTTACTCATAAAAACCTTAATGATTTTTGAAATGAAATCATTACATTGTTTTATATTACGTATATCTCATGAATTTCAATTGCAGGGACAACTTACATTCGAGTTGACAACGCATATTTCTGATTTTTAAATTACAATGGATACTTGAATATGTATGTATCTCTAACAGTCTTAAATTTTGTAGAATAGAGAAATATAACAACAGGGGAAAAAATGACCAAAGGAAATGTGAAAAACTCAACATTTTCCAACCGATCGATTTTCGTGAATAGACTGACTACGAAAAAAATCGAGCACTGTTCGAAAATCTTTTAACGTTATTAGAAAGTTAAATGTCTTCCTAAACGAATACACACAAAATTAAACATGAAATCTTTCAAGTATTCCCAAGATAGATTTTTTAAAACCTACATCACACCTGCATCATTGTCTTTGCTTCAAATCGGTTAAATAGTGACATCGTACATCTAAAGTGTACTACGGTATATTTTGTCACTGTATCTTGTCGATGGATAGGCGTGAATATTTGTTGTTTTTTTGAGGCAACGCTTCTTCTAATTGCAATGCAATTTTCTAAGGACAGAAGGAACTATGTTTGACAGACTGATCAATGTCGGATTCAGACTAAGTTTCTCATAACCATCCATCCAGTCATCAAATAATTCTGAAAATCTTACATATCGTCAATCTAATGATTATCTTTTGAATGCTAACAGTTTAATTTGAAAACAATATATATATTTTCTCTATATGAAGAAAAACGGTGCAGTATGAGACTCCCAATCCTTGATTTTAAAACATCTGTTAGGTCGAAGTTGATAAAATTGCAAAATGGCCTACTCCTTATACACGGTAATACACAGAGAAGTTATAATAAATTATAGTCAGGATTATCTAAATATCTCTTTAGTGATAATACTACATGCATTTAGAAGTAATGTCGTGTCTTGCCAATTAAAGGAATATGTCAAGTTCCCACAAAATAGGGTAAAAAATGTACTTTCATGTTTTAATACATGTTTTTCTAATACAAAACATCAAAACAATGATAAGGAATCAAGAAGTACTAATCTTTCTCAATGTCGTCAGCTGGAACTAAGTATTAAAACTATATAATTATCATATTAAACGAAAGTTTGCTAATTAGAGAAGATCTTCGATTGTTAAGGTTATTAGAATTAGAAAATGGAGATTATATAAGCAGATATAGACAATAATCTGGCTTAATGGCATTCCATACCATTGATTTGAGTCACGTATTCAAAAGAAATACATGTACGTGGTGCATACTAACCGGATCTTAAAGTAAATTCATAGATTACGTAATATTACAAGATATGGACATGGTTTGTTCTGGGTACATTTTATTTGTAATGGGGTTGATGATTGACATATCATGTAAGTATGCAAAAGAATGCACCTTAAATGAACGTGTATTTATTCTGTTGTTGGACTCTTGTGCCTTACTCTATCGATTGACAAGTTTGCACCGTCTGTTATAACAGAATGTACAATTACAATATATGTGTATTACTAGGTGGATCAAATGAAGTAGGAAAAACTGATATGGAAAAAAAGATATATAATCTTAGGATAACAACATATATCCTCCGTCAGAGGTTGGGCCCGTTGCAGAAAAAGGTTGGTTCGAAATTATCCCAATACGTATTTGGAAATGAACCACAAAAACATTTGAAAATATAATTTTTCTTGATTTAATGATTTTAGGAGAATGTACGCATTGCTTCAAAAACAGTCTATAAGAAATAAAAAGAGTAACTTAAAAAATAGAATCCAAAATAGAAAACTACATATAACTTAATTTTTAGAATGTTTTTATTTGTAATAGATCTTACCTTTAAATGGCTCTCAGCCATTTTGAAGCATCGTGCAAGGGGTCCTCGTCAACATCACAACATGTCTGTTTTAGATGGACGAAGCCAAAAAGCAGTTAGAACAGGTTTTAGCTGAATTTACTGAGGCTCGAAAAGTTGCAAATGATTGTAAAATCCGGATCGATTCACAAAATATGACACAGAGTGGCTACAAAAACCTTGTTGATTATCAAGAAAGGCTCTCAATTTCTCATAATTCTATGGAGAAACAATATAATGAAAAGTTGGAGGAATGTGGTGGTCATCAAGCTGGTAGAACTCTAAGCATTAAATCAAATAAGTTTAACGTAGCAGTTCCTGTTGCTTGGCATGTGACAAACCCAGCCCTCGAAGACTGTCAAATTGACCTACAGGTTAGTAAAGGCTGTATCAAAGTCGCGGAGTTTTAACACCAAATGCGGGTACATGCATTAGTCCAGTATATTCAATGAAGGGCTATAGCCCTTCCCCCCCCCCCCCCCCATCCCACTCCAGGGTCAAGTCGGCTCGGGTAGTTCAATCGGCCTAATCAACATGAATTCTCTTTTTGAATTATTGACATGCGTAATGTAAGCCGTAACTCGAGACGTTACGATGACTTTTTTAGATATTAGAACAAAAATTACAAGTTCTTGCACATCGAATTAAACAAGCAGAGTATATGGTTAGTGAGGGGAAAATATCAGCCAAAAGGGTGTCCAATACGACAATCCGGTGCAATCCAAAAATTCCTGATTCAATCCAGAACAAGTATGACATGGCCAGGGAAAACAGGCGTCAATTATATGAAGAATACCAGAAAATAAGCGAGAAATACCAAAGTCAAATGTGAGTTTTACCATTTATCATCAAGAGGCTATGGTTCCAAGTTTTCATGTTGACAATTCGCATACCGACAGCTTGGGTCAATTTGGAACAATAAGTGGAACACCATGAATGCAGTATGTGACACTGTGACAGATAAGATGTTCTAAAGTTAAATAAATATTTCGACATGATAATGTGAAAGGCCACTCCATACACCCCCAATCCGCACACTGAAATCACGGTACCGTACGGTACCG